CGCTCCAGGCCGGCAGCAAGGGCCGGTTCCTGGGCGGAAGGAGGGGCTGCGGCCCATCTGCCCGCGTCCTGGCAGTGGGAGCGCCTCTGGCTGGGGCTGGGGGCTGCCATCGGGGGGGCCGAGGCTGAGAGGAGGCTCAGCAGCAGCACAGGGGTACTGCTGGCTCACGACAAAACCAGTGTTTGTTTTCTGGTACTGAGTGAGCGGCCTCTGCTGCTCTTCCAGACCGGGCCCGGGACACCCTGACAGATGAGACCGTGGCATTGAAGAAGGTGCGGATGGACAACGAGAAGGATGGTAACGAAGCAGCAGGGGAGCTGGGGCGGGAGCATCACCGGCCCCTGCTCGAGGCAGTGGTGCAGTGCGGCTGTTGCTCCCTGCAGGGATGCCCATCAGCAGCCTGCGGGAGATCACCCTGCTCCTGCAGCTTCGGCACCCCAACATCGTGGAGCTGAAGGAGGTGGTTGTAGGGAACCATCTGGAGAGGTGAGAGTCCCCCCTACCCTGTCTTCCCATCGTCTCCTGCCCTCTCTGCCTCTCAGACCCTTCTCGGTCCCCTGAGCCGCCTCTCACAGTGCAGACCTGCGCTGGGGCGCTGGAGGGGTGTCCCCGGGGGCAGCTCCTGACTGTGTCTTGTCCACAACAGTATTTTCCTGGTGATGGGCTACTGCGAGCAGGACCTAGCCAGCCTTCTTGAGAACATGCAGACACCTTTTTCAGAGGCTCAGGTAAAAGCTGGGCTAAGCTTTAGGTGCATCACCCCTGAGAGGGTGCTGCCACTGCTGCCAAAACACACTGGCCACCAGCGTGGACTCCCCAAACTTTGTGATCCCTGGAGCTTGTGCTGGGCTTCAGCGGGGCTGGGGAGCACCAGGTGAGCCGGGATTCCTGGGCTGCCTGGGGAGCATGGGCTTAGCTGGCTCTCACAGAACGCTCCGGGGAATTTCTAGGCTGGGTTTTGGGCTGGAGCAAACTGGAAGGGAAACAGAGCCAGGAGGAAAAGCATCCCAGACAGCCTGTGAGCTACCTCTGGCAGGAGACGGGGCCTGACGCGCCGCAGAGCAGCGACAGATGGGACAGACCGCAGGGTGCCCCAGTGGGTTTCACCTCCGGGGGTTTGCCTGGCTGGCACTGCTCCCACAGGGCTCCTGTTCTCTGCCTCCAGGTGAAGTGCATCATCCTGCAAGTCCTCAAGGGCCTGCAGTACCTTCACGAGAACTACATCATCCACAGGTGGGAGCAGCAGGGTGGACATGGTGGGAAGGGGGACATGGGGAGAAGGGGCTGATGGGAGGGAGCCTGCTGAGCCCTGAGAGCGTGGCGTTCTCCTCCGCCTCCCGGGCCCGGCT